CAGAATCATTTAGATTGGAAAAGACCTTTTAGATTATAGAGTCCACCTTTAAATATAACACTGTCAAGGCCACCACTTAATCATGTCCCTAAGTGCCACATCTACATGTAATGCCCATTATCAGGCAGTAGAACTGATGCTGCTGGAGCTCTGAGCTAGGCTAGCACCTGTAACTGTATTCAAGATGACCCTTCAAGCCATATTTTATATGGGACATCAGTTTATCTTTTACATCAGTCTTATAAGCTGCCATGGCCCCAGCAAATGAAAGGGAAGAGCACAGGCCCACCATTTGCTAGACAGGGTAATTACTTAAGTGATGCTTATTCGGACTTGTTTTTCTCTCTGTCTTTCAGGGTCTTCCTGGGCTCTATTGAAGATCTGCTGTTTGCTAATGCAATCACTGACTCATCACAAGTGTCTGTGTTGCCAAATACACATCAGGAAATGTCTTGCACAGCAGAGCCACAGACATTCATATTAGCCAAATATGCACTGGGCTCATGGCCCTAAACTTGCCAAAGCCAGAGACTGTGTTTTTTAAAGATGACTTTAAAAAGAAGCTTTGCAATCCCTGTAAAATAATGAGCAGATATCCTCTCCTTTGAGACAAGACCTTGGATTTATTTACCTCCTGTAGATAGGCGTTGAGAGAGAAAGCTGGCAATAATGTCAAGGAGCCATAAATATCCCTGTTTAGTGACCTAAGCAAAAAGAGGGTTGCATAGATGGAGATGCTTCAAGTGGAAATACACGTGGACAGTAATATCTTTGGCATGCTTGTTTCTTGCCACACATGCTCTGAAAAGGATGTAATGTTAGCAGAGCTTGCTCAGATCAGCAGGATGAACTGCATGTTTGCATTGTCTGGCTGCACACAGATTCTGCAGAGGTGCTTATGGCCACAGACAAGCCAATCAGTTGCTTTTCAATACCAGAATGAAACTAGAGTGCACAGATCCACACATCACTCCTCTCAGTCTCCAAGGCGCTAACAAATGGAGTAGTTAGTAATCTAGCAATGGATCGTTGTTTGCAACAGCAAAGCAAACAGAAGCCAAACATTTCCAACTGAAAGAGGAAAACTCCACACACTATTCAGTTTTAATTTATAGTTCGTTTCTGGGGAAAAAAGATTTAAACGTCTCTGGCATGCTTTGAATATTCATGTTTGGTGTGAACTTTCCCTTCATCACAACAGCTTCATCTGAAATCAGTCAATTGCCCTCCCACACAAAACCCACCTGAGACAGCTTAAAGTGCAGTAGTGTCCTGTTACCACTCAGATATCATCTCTTTGTACATTTTAAGATTCTTTTGTTGTCAGGCCTTTATAGCACAGAGCTTTCTCATGACAGCCTTTTCTTGTGGTTCACAGATGCAGTAACAGTCCCACAGCGCAAATGTGGCATTGCCACAACTCCAGCATCACCAAAAGTGCCACCACTATACTCCATCCAGGTGTAGATGATCTGTCAACGTATTCTGCTGTTTCTGTCATTACTGAAAGTCCAAAGTCCCAAAATTGTGATTCCACGTGGAACTCAATTTGCACCTTTTTATTTTCTGAGGAGTTTTATACAGTTCTTGCATTGCAAAGGAAAAGCTTAGAAATGTGACTTTAAAAGGTACCAGATCTTTCTGCAATGTTTAAGGAGGGAAAACAGGTGAAGTCATTCCTTTACAAACTTGGACAGTAGTAATGTGTTCTTTGATTTCTTTCTCTTCTGCATTGGTTACAAATACTGATGAAAGGTATTGGCCCAGACAGATGACTCATTCCTAGGACTTCTCTGTAGAGACATTAATAGAGGCAGGGAATAGGCTATTATTAATAATACACCTCATCAGTTTTCTGCACTTTCCTTTATTATCTAGCTACCTGTAACTACAGATGTGTCTCTTATATTACCTGCAAAAAGGTTATATATATAAAGTATATATGAATTATATATTACTTATAAATCTTGAAGCCAAAGTGACAGAAGTGAGGAAATATCAAATCTTATCTGACAGATGGACTTATTTGTCAAGATACAATCTTTCATTACCAATTACTTCAATCCCTTTCTCAGCCTTCCCTACCCCCATACACATTCATTCTGATTTTAAATATATCCCTTTTGAATCTCTGTGAGGTCTCAGTGCCCTGAGGCAGGCAGATGAGTCCATGGTGCTCTGCCTTGTTCCCACAGGGAGAGGTCCTCCCTGCAGACAACAGCCCATAGTGCTCCCTATGGCCTGGAGAGACTGAACTACCCTTCTTGTGCTCCATGTCTATTTGAAAATGGTCTCCTGCCTGAATTTTCACTTTTCAGTTATTCAGGTCCCTGGCCCTGGAGGTGAGAGAGGGGATGGCTCACAGTGTCTGCCAAATTTCCATGAGGAAGGAAAACTCACCCTAGCTTAGATATCCAGCTGTGGGAAGATGATCACAGCTGTGCTGCTGCTGCTGCTGCACAGTTAAACAAGTCTCCCTGCAGGGAAGGCTGACTTCCCCTCACCTGTGCTCACTGAGTAGTTTAGGCAGCTCCCTGCACGATGTACCCTCTCCTGAAGTCCCATTCCCTGACACTTGGCTTCCCTTGCACAGCTGCTGGGCACTCAGGACTCCACCAGCACTTGTGGATACTACAAGGCAGCAGGGCTCACACCTCCTCTTTCTCTCTTGCAAAAGTAGCTGGGAGCCCCTAGGAATGGGCTTGAAATGCAGTCCAACTGCATCTCAGGATTTGGGCTGGTTTTAGTCCCTTGATCAAGTGCTTGCTAAGTCACTAACATGCCCTTGGGAAACACTATTGTTAGATGCATTGTAAAGTGCACCTGAATTTGCTGTTTGCAGCTTTGCACTGCATGTGATGCATTATTTTACAAATTCAGATGTGTCTGCTTTTTCAATAGACCCTTCTCAGGGTTATACTTGTGCAAATCTGGAGTAGGTCTTCTAATGTCACTTAAATTACTCTCAGTTTATACAGTGAGATCAAAATTTATTCCACAAGGTTTTACACGAGATCCAGTTGCAAATGATGGAAATTCTGAATGCAAGGAAAAATCCATTAAACATGAGAAGAATTTTACAAACAGAGACCTTTTTAATGGGAATTAAGTGGAGTTCTAGATTATTTATTAGGAATGCTTTTAGATGCAGTCAAAATTTTACTGCTCTGGCAGTAAAGGGATTCAAACACAACATACAAGTCCAAGAAAAAACTGCAACCTATTAACAATAAATTAGACTGTTTAATGTGAGAAAGCTTAATAATGTTGGAATCCTTCCCTGTATACCTTTAAAAATCACACTGGATGAAAAATCTCTGCCTACCTGCTGTGTGTGTATGGACAAGAGAGAAGAAAGGGAAAATGTACATAGGAACAATGGGGATACCTGACACATGGGGATAACAAGGTTATGCAGAGCTGAAGCCTAATTCAAGAAGTAGACAACTTAAAAAAATCAGAGTTAGTTTTTCGTGGCTCACCACAGACCTCTGGCCGATGTTATGCTGCCCAGGTGACACAGAAGTCACTTGCTGACCTTAAAAGCTGAGGACTACAAATTGCTCAGTATTTCTCCCACCCACAGGGGCAGCCCTTTTCTGTGGAGAAACTTTTTGTAGTCTGTAATCTAAACCTCCTCTGACACAACTTGAGTCTGTTTCCTCTCCTCCTGTCACTTCTGCCCTGGGACTGACTGACCCACACTTGGCTCCAATCTCCTGTCAGGGAGTTGCAGAGAGCAAGAAGATCCACACTGAACTTCCTTTTCTCCAGGCTCAGCCTGTGCAGCTCCCAAAGCCTCTCCTCATCAGGCTTGAGCTCCAGCCCCTTCCCCAGCATCATTCCCTTTTCTGGACACACTCAGCCCCTCAATGTCTTGTCACGAAGGACCTAAAACTGACCCCAGGATTTGAGGCATGGCCCAGCACACAGGGATGGTCGCTGCCCTGGTCCTGCTGCCGCACTACAGCTGGTACAAACCAGGGACCATTGGCCCTCTTTCCAACCTGGGCATACTCTCTCTCAAGTTCAGCCACTATCCACCAGCACCCCTAGGGCATTTCCCACCCAGCAGCTTTCCAGCTGCTCTTCCCCATGCCTGGAGTGTGGCCTGAGCTGGCTGTGAGCTGTGGCTCGCACGGGTGGGGATGAGGCCGGGGCAGGTCTTTGTGCTGCTGGTGCTGGGAATGCTGATGGGACATCGAATGGAGCCTGGTCTTCAACAGGCTTAGGATATCACGCTTGGCTCACTTGGTGATAGGGCAAAGTTTCATGGGCTGAGACAGTTTAATAAGGAAGCCAAAGCAGAACTCAAGATGCCACACAGGTCACGCCCAGCTGCCCTGTGCTTCGCTGGCACAGGAGCAGCAGCAGCACCTCACAGCTGAACTCCTGAGCAGACAGCAGGAGGTGTGGGCTGTGCCCTGAGCAGGGGCTCAGCTGTCCCGACCATGTCCCCTTCCAGCATGGTGACATCATCACCAAGGTGCTGCTGGGGGAGCACTCAGATGGGTGCTGTCACAGTGCCTGCTGATGTCACAGCACGAGGTCTAAGGTATGAAGCAGTGCCAAGGCTGTCCTACCACACTTCGGTGACAACCTGCAGAGCTGAGCAGAGGACCTGCAGAGGACCTGCTCTGTTCTCTGGAGCTCTGTGGAGCTGAGCAGAGGACCGAGAAGAAGGAGCTTGCCCAAGGCTGATGAGGGAGAAAGGTAAGTGGGAGGACCCAGGTGTCTCTGTGGCAACTCAAATATCTTCCTTCTCTGAGCTGTTGCAGGAGCGTTGGGTGCACAGAGGCTTCACCGCTGTGGAATTCGCCATCCACCTGCTCCATGGCCGCAACTGAGCAACAGGTCCCCGCCTGCAATAAGCCAGGTGTGAGTGCACTCTCCCTCCCCACAGCTCCCCAGGGCCCTGGGGCCATGCTGCAGAGACACCTCCCCAGTCCCACAGAGCAGCTCATGCCTCGTGCCCTTTGCACTGTCCCCCTCCAGTATGCATGCTGTGTCGCCGTGCAGAGGTGGACCTCAACATCTGTGGGGACATGACAGTCTGCCCTGGGCTCTGTGTCCACACCTACTGCATGGTGAGTGCTCCCAGGGCTCCCTCAGCTTCCTGCTGGGAATGGGCCCTTCCCTGCTGCCCTAACG